GTGCCAAAAAACTGCTGCATATGTATATAGGTACGTGCAGAGGTACAGTAGGTAGATGTTCACACTAATATGAAATGCTGCTGCTGCTGCTGCTCCTACTACTACTACTACTACTACTACTACTACTAAATAATAGTAAAAAAATACTACTACTGCTACTGCTACCGCTACTCCTACTGCTCTACTACTGCTACTATTGCTGCTGCTGCTGCTACTACTACTACTACTACTGCTACTACTGCTCCTACTACTGCTAATCCTAGTGTTACTGCTACTGCTACTGCTAGTGCTAATGCTACTGCTGCTGCTGCTACTACTACTACTACTACTACGTACTACTACCACCACTACTACTCATGCTATTACCACCGCCACCGCCACCGCCACCGCCACCGCCACCGCCACCGCCGCCGCCACCACCACCACCGCCGCCGCCACCACCACGACCACCACCACGACGACGACGACTACTTACTGCACTACTACTAGCACTGCCACTACAACTGCCAACACCACCACCTCCACCACCACTACACAAACGAATAGTAATAGTAAATAGTGTTTGCAATAGTAGTGGAAACAATGAACCTTTGTCTGGCAGCCAAAAAATCCCCGTCTCGTCCAAGTCGCTTCGTGTCAAAGCGCTTGCGCAGCTCGGGATCTTGAATCTGCCTGTTTCTCGGATCTCGGGCTGCAAGGTGTGGGGGTTTTGGGGGCTCAGAGTCCTATATGGATCTCAGCAGCAGCATAAACAACAAGACGAAGGGTGATGGTCACTGTGACAGTGACAATGAAAGTAACACCTAACTACGACTACTACTACCAGCAACGACTGCCACAACTTGACTCATCTACGCTGCTGAGTTCGTGGAGCTCTAATCTTGGGAGCAGAGCTCGAGCTTGTCCAAAGCGGAAAGGCACGCTGCCAGCACCGGGCCTAACGTTGAAGTGCTTCTTCTGCAGCTTCTTCACCTCGAGAAAAGAGCAAGCGCATTAGTGACAGCATTGCTGCTTACTTCAGGCACCGAAGCGGAGAAGACCTTTGTCTAGGATGCACAGAGGCCGGTCGTGCACACAGGTTAACCGCCAGCCTTCGTCTAACGGATTGCATGAGAGTTTAGTAAGGTGTCTGCAAGTCTGATTCCGATTATATAAGCTCGCATTTCTTGCTGGAAATCCCAGGCCTGATGACAGTCTCGCGACAAGGCTAGGCTGAGAATGGACTCCGCAGTCCCCGAACAGCCCGCATGAGTGCAATCAGCCGCTTCTCCTTCAAGAGTTTATGTCCACTGCCAAAAACGAGGCAATGCACTGATGTGGCCATCACAAGTCAGAAATCGCCCTAAACCAAAGCTTTGCAGTCCCACCGTGGACATGGTGGGATAGTGAGCCTGGACCTGCCAGCCGTCACTTCCCAGCTCGTCCAAGAGCTGCCAATGAATCCGTCGCGAGTGTGTTGACACATGTAAACGACGAACTCGAGTCGACAGCCAACCCAACAACCCTGATAGAATGTACTCCTCTGCTCCCTGTGCATCTATGTCAACCAGATCCCAAACGCCGCCGGAGCCCAGCAAAGCTTTGAGCTGGTCGCTCGTACTCAGAAGCTCCGTGTGCACCAGGAATTTGCAGCGTCCAAGGGGCAAATTCATTGCTGTGTGCATTTGCAATATGGAGCCATCCCCGATATGATAGGGCTCCACAAGCAAGAGTTCACAGGGCTGGTCAGTGGCAGCAAACTTCGTATAGGCTTTTGCTGCACGCATGGCCCAAATTCCGTAAGGCCCACTGCCCAACTCAGCCATACGGAATGGCCTCCCGGCCTGTGCTGCATCAACTGCCGTCGTGAGACTATCCGCCCATTCCAAGTACTCCTCGTCCAACACCGGCCAAACCCGAGGCAAAGGCATTCCTGCCAGATAGTATCTGCACATCATGGTTCGTCCTGGTGCTAGCAAAGCCAACTGAGGCTCTTCACAACTAGCCTTGATTGGCATGGACACACCAAGAAAATCCAACATAAAACCCTCTTGCGGAGGCCCCTTCACGGCGGGGAACTTTTCAAAGATGGGGAGGTTCCTCTTTTCGCACCTTCCGGCAAAAATGTCCAGCAAGCACATATTGTGGTTTTCCACCAGCATCTTGTAGAGTGGCATAGTTTGCAGCTCCTTAAAGTAGAAGAAGATTTCACTCATGAGGCCGGCAGTTCGATCAGTCAGAGAATCACTCCATCGCTCATCTGCCAAACGCAACGCGATTTGGCCGGTAAAGCCAATACGTCGCTGGAGGTCTGCGAATTTCTCCTGCAAAGCTGCTCGAGCTGTTGCGAGGCCAGGACCGGAACGAAGTTTCACACGATAGAGCTGCAAGGCTGTTGACAGGTTTTGCAGCTTGTCCACATCGGCTTGATGGAGCACCTTAAGGGTCGTAAGCTCATGTTGAATTCCGGCGTCAAGTGCCAAGAGCCCGGTAAAGCAGCCGCAGCAAACAACTGTGGAATTCTGGTGCGGGCACGATTGACAAAAGTGTCTGAAGGCGTCGGACGCCGCATCCAGCGAGCGAACTTTGTGCAATGCCTGGAGAGCTTGCGCAGGCGTGCAAGGCTCATAGAACTCTGCTGCTGCAATGCCCAGCAGAAGTGCAATGTGATGGGGTTGCATATGTCGATGTCTCAGCGTTGGTAATGACCAGCTTCCATTACATCTCGGAATGCATACCACGGCATGCTAACTATCGAAGCCTGGGCCCGTGTCGGGATACCACTAGCAGCTCCGCCCGAAACCGCCAGAAAGCTGAAAAAACAAATATCGGGATGCTCTTGACATCCGGATAATGTTTTTTCATTTAGTAGAAGATCAAGTGGGAATCCAAGCACTAGCGATACCCGACCTATGTTCCAACTTTCTAAACCCTGAAACAGTAGACCGAACCTTCAACCCTAAAATCCCTAACACACATACCCTGAACCGACCCCGAAGTTCTAAACCCGAACCGGCCCGCCCATGAGCCCGATACACCCCACCTTAGCCCCAAATCAACCCACGGGAAATTACCGAGCCTGATGGTTAGAATTGGGTTCTCGCGCAAACTAAAGCTCAACAACAATCAGCAGTCTGCAGTAACACTACTCGTCATCAATTATCCCGACCTGGAGCCTCAAAACTGGTGCTGCCAATCCCTATGACTGTCTCGTTCTTCTCTCTTCACCTCTGGCTTTTGAATTCATTTAGGCTTTTAGATTACCTTAGATGCTGTAGAGTGTCGGATGCCCAAGAACGGCTGTGAGTTTCTATCGCTTTGGAGAATCACTCGCTCCACGGTTTCGCGACTGGTTCCTTGGCTTAGTCCGAGAAGTCTGGGGGCATACAGATTACCTGCTGAGGTTACACACTATTTAGGGGTCCTTAACACCTAGGACAGTTGTTTTCATTATTTGGGCCCCTATAGTATACGTAGAGTTTTGAAGCACGGTGATTCAGAGCTCCGCTTCCTTTGCAGGACTGCGTTTCGCACGCCCCCTCCCAAACCCTTGACACAATTCTGCCTCATAAACTGTATACTGCACGAACCCTAAGCCTATAAGTCCCCTACGGCGTTAAACCTTGACCACTAAACACTAAACCAAACTGTACAGTAGAAGCCAGAGGGTTGGAACATCATCCTCTTCAATTCATGTGAAGCATGCGGACTCCGAGCACTGATCATCCTCATCCCATGTTCCAACTTTCTGTTCTTCCTTGTAAACCCAAATGAGGCGAGAAATCGTTCAAGCCCTCGACTCTAGATCGAAAAAGCCCTAAACCCCTAGACCCGAGACCCTAAACCGTTTCGGCTTTAGAGGAGCCTTCGCAGATTCCGAATCCGCTGTTGCTTTTGCGTGCTTTCCGTGTTTGTTTTTCGTGTTTGGGTGTTAGGTGCTACTGTAGGGCTCAGGGCTTTAGGGTTTAGGAGTTTAGGTAATGAGGGTTTTGGATTTTCTGGCCGTTCCCTCCACGTGGCAAGCCTGGTAGCAGAAGCAGGAGGGAAATGGGTAACACGAGATTGAAACTTCACACGAATGCTCAGGAGAAATCTCAGAAAGATGAGTTAGAGCGCTTCATCTTTCTGCACTTGTCGATGTTAGCCTTGAGGCTGCCGTGTTCTACACGGTTCTAGCCCTTCACGGTTGCTTGGAACAGACTACAACCAACAAAGATACCCCGACCAAGTGGTGAAATGAACACCTAAGACCGGAAGCCTAAACCCTAGTATACAACCTTGACTGTAACCACCTGGTCCAATACACTCACTCAAGCTTGCTAATCCATGGTAAGAGCCGAATAACCACCCGAGGTATTCTTACAGTACCGCTGTTAGAGCCGATAGCTCTTGAAACTCAATCGCCCCAGCCTCGAAACCCTAAACCCCAATTTCCTATACCCTACACCCCAAACCCTAAACCCTAAGCCCCGACAACTTAAACTCTGGAACCCTACAGTAAACCCCAAACCCGCTAAACCTCTGAACCGCAAACCCTAAACCCCAGAATCTTAAACCCAGCCTCTCACCATCTCCCACGGGTGTGCCTTGGCTTTCACCGTGTTCACCTTTGCGTTCCGCCTCTTTCGCAACGACCGCCCCATGGCGCAATGGCTTCAGCAGATGAAAGTAGACAGGATCAACTCTAACTCCAAGCCCCTAAAGGTAGGCTGACGGGCTTTAAGCTTAGAGGCTCAGTTTGGAGATGAGGTGGGCAGACATTGAGAATCAGGTCTTGTGGGTTCCTATATGGAGAACGTATATGTATATGGAGAACCCCAGCGCAGTTGCCAACGCTGAACTCTTACCTAAATCCTATAAGCCGCGGAAACCCCAGACACTCAACCCACGACTGTAGCAACACCCAAAGCCGTTGGGTCCCTGCTGTGTTAGAGCTACAGGAACGCAGGGGCATCTGCGGATACGTAGCCATGGCCAGCGTAGGGAAACTGCGCCGTGTCTGAAAGCTCTTCTGGAATTTGCGGAGTTTGTCCTTGAATGCTGCTGCACGGTGTTGTGGTAATGTATAGGCCTTAATGATTAGACTAGGGTTTTATAGGGCCTATGATACTACAGTTATAACAAGGAACCCCAAAAATAATATAGGTAATTATTTAGGCCCCTATAGTATGCTACTTGCTGGTTCTTGCTTCGGCCCACCTCTCGACCCACATTAAGCACGGCTTCTTGTCCGAGCACGCAAAGAAGGAGGTCGGCCTATGTCGGCCTGTTTATGTGCCTCGTATGCATTCAACCCGAAGAATTCCAACTTGTGAGAAGGCCCTCAACCATAGATCACTTGTTATGCCGGACACTCAAAAACCAGAACGGGATTGCATGATATATGCTGGTGCTTGCTTGCTTGCCTGCCTGCCTTTGTGCTTGCTTGCTTGCTTGCAAGCTTGTGTCCATGCTTGGAGACGAACGGCTGCTCTGGTTGGTCACCTCGTCTGTTTCACGGTTGTTCGCTGCTGTCTCTGATTCAACAACTCAGCATGCCAACATCCCATGGCACAATTGTCCTTAAACCTGGCTGTCGCCTCCTATACATACATACATACATCCATCCATCTATCCATCCATCCATCATCCATCCATCCATTCACGCACGCATGCATGCATGCATGCATGCATGCATGCATGCATGCATCCATACACACAAACGCTTATATATATATATATACACACACACACCTGTGTGCATGTGCGTGCGCGTGCGTGTGTGCGTGTGCGTGTTCGTGTGCGTGTGCGTGTGCGTGTGTGCGTGTGTGCGTGTGTGTATGTGTGTGTGTGTGTGTGTGTGCGGACGTGCGTGCATGCCTGCTTGCCTGCGTGCGTGCGAGCATGCATGCATTCAGGCACACTCTGTAGGCCCGCTCATACATACTTACGACGTACGTACATGCATGAAGACCGCATACAGGCACACGTAGGTACATACGTGTGTACATACGTGCATGCATGCATACATACATACATACATACATACGTACATACCTACATACATACATGCATATATGCATGCACATACACATATTTGTATTTAATAGATAAATATGACATATAGTTCAGATCAGTATGTTAATTTCCTTGTTTGTGTTGTTTGCCTAGTTGCTTGCGTTTCGTATATAGTCTGTATTTGGTTGCCTTTGAAATATTCAATCATCATTACTCATCCGTTTGATTATCCGATTGTATTCTTTTCAGTCTTTTTCTCTATCTATCCATCTATCGAACCAATTGCTTATCTAGCTGTCTGGCTGCCTGGCTGTCTTTCTTGCTCTGGCATTCTGCTACGGTGAGCAATGCAGAGACCGTCGAAGCCAAGGCTGCGGCTGGCGCACTCTTCGGCGCTTGTGCACTCTCTGCTGGTCGCGTCGCTGGGAACTTGGAGTAGAGATCCTGCGCAGTGCATCGGGATCAAGACTGTGAGTGCAAACTTGGTTCATCCACGACCTGCATTGAGTCCGGATCGACGGTCTTCATATGCTCCGCATAGTAAGACCTCCCGCTGGACTTTGGCAGAACTGCACGGCCGAACCAAAAGCTATTGTCTTGTGTCCGAAACAGTAACAGGAAAACTATCCCAGCTTGCCTGAAGGGGGTCGCTTCGGCACTCTCCGTCGGCTTTGCACTAGCCTCTGGCTTCTCAGGCGCTTTTGGCGCCGGCTCGGGCTTCGGAGCAGCCGGGAACTTGGAGTAGAGCTTCTGCGCAGTGCATCGGGATCAACAGTGTGATTGCAGACTTGTCTCATCCACAGCCTGCATTGACTCCGGATCGATAGTCCGCATGTGTTCCGCATAGTAAGACCTTTCGATGGACTTCTGGAAAATGGCACGACTGAGCTACCAGCTTTTGTCTTGTGTCTGTCCAAGCGCAAAAGGATAGCTATGCTACCTTGCCTGAAGGGTGTCAAGGATGCTGCTTTTGCAGCTGGTGCTGCAGGTGCAGCCTCAGCTTCGGCAGAAGAAGATTTCACATGACGCCTGCTCGTGAACATCTTGGGCTGCAGCTACTGCTGATGCTTGTGGTACTCCCGCTCCCTCCCCCCGATCGCTGACCAAACACGATGAAAGAAAGGATTAAGCTTTGGACTCCGGAGAACACACTGCTGAAACCAGTGTGCAAGCTAAACGTAGCAGTTGACAGGGCCGGGGGACTACTACTACTACTACTACT